CCTCCTTAATCATCATTTCCACTTCTTTTGCTTAAAAAAATAACCACAGGAAGAAAATCAGAACTTTTATAAACTTCTGCCAACAAATCTACACACCCACCTGCGTTTATACAAATATGTTATGCTGTAGCTCCTGTTATTTCAGATGGACAACATTAGTGGCAATATGACTGAGAAGGGGCATAGAAAAGGTGGTATATTGAGTTAGTGTGATTACCCAAATTCTTACTGTCTATGAATCATATTTTAAGGATATATATATCCTGTATGTTTTAGAATTTATGAAAAAGCCTTTAAACCATTTGGCAGATCAAACAGCACGTTCAACAGAATTTTTTTTTAATAATGGAAATGTCTATGTAGGCACTATCCCATACTATAGCTAGTAGCCATAAGTGTTATTGAGCTAGTAAGATGTAACTAGTATGATGGTGGGATTGAAATTTTATTTGTATTTACTTTCAATTTATTTAAATTTAAATAACCACATGTGACTGGTGGCTACTGTATTGCATAGCATAGTTTTAGAAGGGTAGAGGGTAATAAATTGTCAAATTCAAAAAAAGTTACAAATTAAAAATTTTATTTGGGAATCACATAATTGCAATTCAGGGCAAACACACATACTGGAGTGGTCTTTGGTTTGTCTGAAGAATAATAGAATATTAGGGGCCTTACTTTAAGAAGAAATGTTCTATATTATTTTGAAAGGTCACTGGCACTGAAGAAGCTTTTGGGAGCTGGCCATCTCTGGTGAGTAAAGGTGGTAGATAAAACTAGTTTTAGAATCATGGCAAGTTGTTTCAGCCACTGCTAGCTAAAATTTGTCTTAGGATCACAACAGGCTGTTTTAGCAGATGTGTTTGTGGCAGTTTAATTCTTGGAGCTGGTGTTAATGTGCCCTGAATGCTGTTATCCCCTTGGCCCCTCAACTCTGAAGTTGTTACAGGACCAAAAGTTTCATATGCCTGCTACACAGTGACATACCAATACACTGAGACAAGAGGATTTGCAGCAAAGAAAGAGTTTAGTGATCACAGGACAGCCAGGCAAGGACAGGAGGCCCTCAAATTCGTCTCCCTGAGGAGCTATGTGCTAGAGTTTTTAAGGAGTTTGTGGAGGCCAAGGGGATATTGGGATCATTGACTGGTTGGAGTAAGGGGGATTGAAATAATCAGAATGTGGAAACAGCTTTCCTTGGTAAGTCAGCACTTCTTGGGGTCCTAAAGAGTAGCTGGAATCAGTGGGGTTCCTTCAGACCAGCTGATGTCAGTAGTTTCACCAGTATGAAGAACTTTAAAGAATATCTCGAATGGAAACATTAAAGCCTTACAATGCTTAAGTTGTAATTTATGGCGCACTTAAGGGGAGCTATAGTCTTCTAACGGTGTTGACGGGGTTTTGGGGGCAATAGGCAAACAACTGTGAGGAAGTGGGTCAGAAAGTAAGCTGACCTAATGATTCATGCTGAAGGGTGCTGTAAGCTTGTTTTATTTTCAGTTCTCCTCCTTCTTTCCTTTTTGATTAATTTTATAAAATTTATCAGAATTGTTTTATTTTAGTTGGATGTGTCAAGAGTTACCCAATTTATGTAATCAACTTTTACAAGGTGGAATGCTGAAGAGTTAGAAAACATGAAAACCAATTAGAAAGTTGTTAGCTTACTTGAAAGAACACCAGAGTTTGAATAATAGTCCACAATCCCTTAGCTGTAATTCCAAAATGAAATTATTTGGAAAATGAAAGTATTTGAAAAATGAAAAATATTTTTGTATTCTTGGTGTTAAAACACGAAATTACCTGAAATTATTTGGTGGTAGTTTCTGCACTGAACTATCGTGAAGCTTTTTAACCCTATTTTTATCTACTTAGTATAAATCTTCACACATTTAGCTGCAGAAATATTTTTAGGAACAGGTTGTTCCTTGGAGGTTATATAGTGTCTGGTAGATGAAACATACTGCCTTTCTAAGATCTGATTTTTTTTAATTCTGCAATTTGATATCTGACCCTTAAGAATTATGGATATATTAGAAACCTGTAGTAAGTAGTGAGAATGGCAATGGGGAAATAAGAGAGAGAGGGGAATTTGATTGCATGATCCACAGACTTTGGCTATTATAATGTTTTGGGAAATGAGGAGCAATTAGTATGAAGGAATATTTTCAGCATTTTAATTCAGGCTAAGGATTAGTGGTTAGTATTAAAAATGTCCTAAAAGGCAGAATTGATTTGGACCTGAGAGGAGAAGTGTAGGTATATAATCAGTTCTATTTTGCAGGTTGAGTTTTAGCACTTTGTGGTACATGCAAGTAAAGATTATCATCCAGCTGAATGTCTGCCTTACCTCTTTCCTTGTATTTTCAATTCATAGAAATTAAATAGCTTTTATTAATGAAGAGTATTGAATTTACTTTTTGTCTAACAAAGGCTTTCGTGATAATTATGTATTAACTTATTTATCTTAAAAAATGGTTATTTTCTCTGATCCAGTACTCCTTTTTTTATAATAAATATTTTGCAATACTTCCTACACTATTTTGAAATGAAATTTAGGTAAATATAACTATCTATACACAGAAAATTTAAAAAAACTAATATAATATTCTAATTCTACTATGGAAGAGAAACAGAAGGAAAATAATAAGAAAAAGCATGTTTTTTTAAACATGTAAACACTCAGGCATGAATACAGAAGAAAATGGAAAAAAGAGACACTTTTATCAATGACAAGATGCTAGCTTTTGACTGATATGAAACATATATAGGAATTAAATATCTTAAATTTTTTCATGACTCACATACAATGCAAAACATAATAAAGTAAATTTTCTGTTAATTTTTATAGCATTTGCATCCCTAGATAATTTAGTGTACAGTGGAACAGTACATACATACTTTGTGCTTATGTGTAAAATTACCACCATTGATGGTATTGTATATACTTTTTGATGAAAGGGCTGATGGACACTGTAAAAGTTTACCAATGTAGAAAAAGGACACATGCAAATACAGAAATGACTACCTGAAACTTAGGAGTCTTTTGCTTCCTTCCAGTTCTCATTAGTACAGTTTTTATGGCACAACCTTCCCACAGCCATTGCCCTCCAAACTCAGATGCACACATTTATTGAAGAAAAGAGAAGAGACCTATTTTTTTTTAACTTTTTCAACTATCAAAGGAAAATAAAATGATATATTTTCAAAGTATCACACATGTATCACGTTTTCTCATGTTCCCCTACTGAAAGAAATATGGTTTGTCCACTACAGTAAGGAAAAGTTAATATTTGCATGCTACATTGCATATATGGTAATCATACCTTCCAAATTTTCTGTTATAGTTTGAAATTTTAAAAATTCTATCTATGTCATAATATATGTACATATTTTTCTCAGATCATCTGTTCTAATTTTTGATTTGAAATTTATGGGTTCCCTATGTATTGATGTCATATGATTCTACAGTAATAACATTCTGGGTTTAGCAGTTTTGTCACTCTGTTTTCACAGATTGGGCATACACAGTCAAAAATTATTTTGAGATATACTGAAATGGTGGTTTAAAGACACTGTTCTTTTGTAAATGTTCTGTACGCTTCTCTACATTCAAAATTGTATTTAGAATCTGCTTGCCTTTCCTGCAAAGCAATAAATAATCTGGTTATGTATTTTTAAAACTTTTTAAGTCTATTTTAACATATTGACAAGTGGGTGTGGGGAGAGAGATTATTAGGGTAAACTTGATATTTTTAGACTAAACTCTGACATATATTCATAGTATATATTTTCGTTCATATAATGTGAAAGAGAAACAATTTTTTTAAAGGAAATGAAAGCAGAATAAAGAGTAGTATGCTTCTCATGTCCTAAATCATATTATAAAAACAGGACAGAACTAAGGTCAGTGTTTGTCCTGAGCATTTGCCAAACCATTTCCCATGTAACCTTTTCTTCTTTCCTCGTAAATTTATGGTGTCATGTGTTCATTTTATAGATCTGGCTCACTGACAAATTTGATCTTTTATTTCTTAATTTTGCAAAAACTGCTATTTTTCTGCCTAAGAATATGTATTTTCTTAGAACTTTAAATCTTCTCTTTATTTTTAATACGAGCTATGCTTGTTTATTTGGGAGACTAGGTTTTTATTTTTTCTGAAATAAATATTTAATCACTTTTTGAAAATATGGCTTCTGCAGAAAATAGAATACCTGGTATCTGGGCCCTCATTCCTGTATGACAATCCTTGGCCTGAGTAGCATCATTCCCTTTAAAGGTGGCCTACCCCTTCCCATGTGCTGTCATTTCTAACACTATTATTTTAATGTCATTGAATTTCAGCTGCCATTTATTATGTTTTCTGGCTGGACCTTATCATTTTTTTGAGTTTATGACTTTTAGGTCTTGGAGTTAAAGTACAATTTCAACTTAAATTTCCTTTAGCAAATTCTATTGCTCGATATTGCAGTTATTTTCATAGTATCAAATCCATTGCTTCTATGCTAGGCATATGTTCTCTGCTAAATCTTTTAATCATTACTTTCTAAAATTTATGCTGTCATTATGAATTTGATAAGTCACTGCTCTTCTAAGTCAGTACTGTTGTATTTTATACCATAGAATGATCATAACTAAAGGAGACTGTATAAAGTATTTGATGTATTTTAGACTACACCTCAAACCCACCTGCTAAGCATAGGAAGATTAAGCATTTTACCAAAAGTTGTTACTTTTGTTAAGATAGGGTTAAGCATTTCAGCAAAAGTTGCTAAGTTTGTTGTGACAGGAGTGACCACCATGCCAGTCACTTAATCCCTACTCTAGTACTCTATCTCAGGAGATATGTTTTCTGGGGTTAAAATTGCACTAATAAAAACATCTCTAAAACAAGTATGCTTGTATTGAGACGTTTGCAAATTTATTCATTCTGTTTTATATTTTATATTACATTACTCTCCAAAGGTAAATTATTCTAATTTACCTATTTTATTTCAAACAGATCATGTTGTTTGTGAAGAAGAGTTTAAATACGCCATGTTAGCTTTAAACTGTATATGCCCAGCAACATCTACACTTATTACACTACTGGTTCATACCTCTAGAGGGCAGTAAGTATATTTTTTCTTTAAGATAACGTTTTAAAATATATTTTAAAAAGTAAGAGCAGTTAATGTGATTTAGAAATGTAGAGGGCCAAGGTTTACAGCTAAATATGCACCTATATTTGAATTTGTGTGAGTTATCTTCATCTGATGAAGGGACAAATAAGTAAGGACTCCAAGACATAGATAATTGACAGTTATTTGCTGTCTTTTCTCAGCAGTCTTGAGATAGTTTGTTGCAACTTATTAATGAATTCTAAGGGTCGGCATCATTTGCTAGGCCTAGGATTAGGGCATGATTTTTATTTCAAAGATGAATACTTATGCAGCAAATGAAAATATACTAATTTAGAATCCTTTAATTAATAAGAACTTAAAGTCATATTTTTCTGTTCCAGAGGTAAGTTTTGTCTGAAAGCTAGTGTACACAATTGATCTCAAAATCGTAATTTTGTAATTATTGTAGAATAATAACAAAGTAGTTGTATAAAATTAGCAATTGCAGTATAAATCACTTTTTATATGCACTTCAAGATAGGAGAAAGTTGTACCATCAGAACCTTTTTTGTTCTTGTTTGAGAGTTTTATGAAATATAGAAGTTTTTTATTTGGATGATCAAAGAAAATGTAGGCAGTGAACATACTCATTGCTCTTATTTAAAGAGACAAATGCACTTCATTTCATACCTTGTCATATTTCTAATCTTATATTTCAGACACAGTGCTGATTTTCTAAGTAAACTTCACTCATGCTAGTGGTTATGATTACTCAGATTTAGTAAGTTAATTGATAATTGTTTAAGTGAAGTGTCAAATCAAATAAATCCAGAAAAAGGAAAATTCTTTCTTGGGATTTAATTATAGATGGGTAAGTTGTTAATTTAGAAGTAGTAAATCCTTAATGATATTCTAAATTAGATTTTACTGTCTTACATCTAATTGCCTAATTGGGATGGTAAGAGTTTCTTAGCGGCTGGGTGGAGTGGCTCACGCCTGTAATTCCAGCACTTTGGGAGGCGGAGACGGGTGGATCACCTGAGTTTGGGAGTTCGAAACCAGCCTGACCAACATGGAGAAACCCCGTCTCTACTAAAAATACAAAAATTAACTGAGCATAGTGGTGCATGCCTATAATCCTTGCTACTCAGGAGGCTGAGGCAGGAGATTCGCTTGAACCTGGGAGGCAGGGGTTGCAGTGAGCCGAGAACATGCCACTGCACTACAGCCTGGTAAATAAGCGAAACCCTGTCTTAAAAAAAAAAAAAAAAAAAAAAAAGAGTTTCTTAGGAGCAATTTTCTCAAAGTTGTGAATAGGAATATTTTTATTCTGTACATTTACAAGGCTTTAATCTGTTCAATAGGAAGGATGTAACAGGATTAGGAATGAAATTGATTTTCTTTGCAGAAAGTACTTGTCATTTTGATGCAATTAAATAGAGTAATAAAAATTATTTTGACACCAATGAAATGAACATTCATAGAAGTCATCAAGTGTCTTCATTATTTTTCATAACATCTTTGTACAGATTCATACAACTATAATGGTGACTATCTAGTCCGACTTCATTCATTGTTGTATACATGAATGATAAAATAATTTCCATAAACTCTAACAGCTCATTACTCATGGACTGAAGTTAAATTACATTGTGTAACTTCTAGTAAATATTATTTATTGATAGTACAGCCTGGTGAAAAAGAATTATAGTTCATATAAGTTAGAAAAGAATTTTAGTGATCCTTAAAATAAGACTTCCTCGATAAATTCCAATACATTTTGCCTTATTAAAAAAGAAAGCAATGGTGTTGAATTAAGGATTCCCTTTAAGAGTGACTTGCAAAATTTTTTACAGCTTGTCACAGTAAATGCTATCATCCACCATAATAACTTTTTTTTAAAAGGTAGTCAGTTATTTAATTAGGTTCTTAAGACATTTAGAACACCAATTTGTGAGGACACATTCCATTTGTCGGGCAAACACAGATCACAGGTAGCCCTGGAGCTGGGGAACAGTTCTGATTTTTGGTCAAATTTGTGAGCCCAGAGCTTTCTGATCAATCTTGTGCTGCTCTGTAATCTCGTATTTCTATGTGGACGATCTCACCTTCCTGGAGTCGGGGCTTCTGCAGCTGCTGCTGCTTGAAGTAAGCATCAGTAAGATGTTTTGGGATTTTTATATTGCTGATATCAACTTTGGTTGACAAATTTCTGGGGTGTTCTTTGTAGAGGAACTTGATTGAGGACCAGAGTTCCAGTCACAGGTACCAAGCCACCAGCCAGCTGCTTCAGGAAAACCACCCTTTTGCCCCTGTGGCTCCAGTGGGGATGATCAGAGTGGTCCAGGGGTGATGCTGGCTCTCAGCTTTCTTACGTGCTGACTCAAGGGTTTTTTTTTTTTGTTTTTTTTTTTGCGCTGAGGCTCAACAGCTTTCAAGGCTCATCTTCAGTAGGATAATACCCAGGCATTTTGTGAAGTTTAACCACCCGGGTACCGCCGTTCTTGTCACCACTAACTGGTTTTGTAACAGTTGCAAGAACCTTCTCCTTTTTCTTTTCAACCTTGGATTTAGCGACTGAGTACTTCCTCTTGTACGTGGCCTTTCTGGAATACATGGCAGGTGGGGAATACCTGCCAATTCCTCTGACAAGGACAGGATTGCGGCTGCAATGGGGCTTCCCCTTCTTGGCCTTTTTACCCCTTTTCACCTTGCCACCAGCATCAGCCTTCTTGGCTTCAGGTTTCTTCTCTTTAGTATCTAGCTTCTCAAATTTTTCACCTGTCATCTTGCAAGATGGGAAAGAGAACTCCATAATAACTTTTTATAGCAGATTTATTGAAGTAAAGCTCACATAATATACGATTTACAATTCATTATGTTAAAAGTATATTCATAGACTTATCCAACCATCACCACTAAATGATTCCAGAATCCCATAAAGAAATTATCTATCCATTAGAGTCACCCTGTGTTTCCCCTGCCAATTCTTTCAGCCGTGGGCAACCACAATCTACTTCCATTTTTATAGATTTACCGCAGCCTCCCAGTAACTACCACACCTGGCTAATTTTTTTTTTATTTTTTGTAGTGATGGGGTTTAGCCATGTTGCCCAGGCTGGTCTTGAACTCCTGGGCTCAAGTGATCTGTCTGCCTTGGCCTCCCAAAGTGCTGGAATTACAGACCTGAGCTATCATCCTCAGCTGAAATAATTTTAGCATATTTTGGCATACAGTAAATAAATGAACATAAAGAATGTTAAATAATTTGGTTTTGCTTTAGATTCAGGGGATATATGTGCATGTCGGTTACTTGGGTACATTGCATAATGGTAGAGATTGGGCTTCTAGTGACCGGTCACCCAAATATTGAGCATTGTCTGTAATGTTTTCCAAGGTTCATTCATATTGTAATATGCGCCAGCACTTTATTCCTTTTTACAACTGAATAATATTTCATTGCATGAATAGATCATATTTTATTTTTCCACTCATCGGTTGGTGGGTATTTGGGTTGCTTCTGACATTTTCACAATGCTGCTGTTAACATTTGTGAAAAGGTTTCTGTGTGACATATGCTTTTATTTTCGTGAGTCTATATCTATGAGTAGAATTGCTGGGTATACGGTCACTCTATTTAGCTTTTTTGGGAACGGTCAGAATATTTTTCCAACAGGTTACGACACTTTGATTCTCATCATCAGTGTGTCAGGATGCTTTCTTTAACATCATCAGCAGTATTTGTAATTACCCGCTTTTTTGATCATAACCATCCTAGTGGGTGTGAAGTGGTCTCTCCAGCAACTTAGCCAGTGCTCTAATACAATTCCTAAGGCTGATTAAAACTCTTATGATCTTACATTTTCTTTTTCTGTTTATTATGTTCATTCCAGTTCTACCTGATCTGTCAGTCATAAAATAACTTGGATGACTTCAAATAACTGTGGTCTTTATATTTTTTAAAGTTTATTATGTATTTTAATGCTTCACAATTTTTCTTCCTCATTTTTCAGACCTGCTCACTTTATTTACCTTTGAGTTTTCAGTGCTCTTGGCAGTGGTTTGTCTTGTTGTTAATTAAATTAGCATTTTGATTTATTTGGCAGTCTTGTCAAAAATAAATTTATTCTTAATGAACATAAATTTTTCTTTAGACAAAAATCGCCTTTGAACATGGGCCATAATGATTTCCACAAGGAAATTCTGGATTATCAGTCCAGTTCATAAGCATTCAACTGGCCCATCCTGATGACATCTCATCCTTATCAGAATTTTAAAAATTTAGCTATTCATTGTTTTTCTCTTTCAATTTGTTTTCATGAGAATAATTAGTCCCATCCACGAGGTAATCTTTTTCACCTCAGTAATAATCAAGGAGTAAGAAAAAGACAGAATTGATAAGAAAAATACTGCTTAGTTACAGAACTTTGCCACTGATTAGATATAAGTGTAGAAAAGAGAGAGGGGAGAAAAAAAGAAAATCCCCTCACCTACTGACACTGGACAGTAGAAAAGAATGAAGTGCATAGTTTGCCAGAAGGAAAAGCGGTTTGATATTGGATGCATTTGCTTTCCAATGAAGACATGATGTGGTGGGAATGGCTGCATGCTTGGTTCCTGAGGAGGGGATCCTGCCAGTCAGGCTCAAGGAGGTGAAGGAGGAAGTAGTGGGGATTCGAACGAAATGACAACTTGAGACTGTTTACTAGGAATTTATTAATTCTAGGAACTAGAGTGAAGAAGAGGAAAGCAAATATAGGTATAACATAATAAAATACAACTAAGATAGGATTTCTAAAAGGAACGGGATTGTCAACAATATTGATGGTTCTAGACTGAGACTGAGCAAGCATTTTGGATGCTGGTCTCTGAGGACTTCTGAAAAAACAATTTTGACAATGGGGATTTTCTTATTATGAGAAAGTATGAAGAAATAAAGAGATGATAAGAAATAAAGTGTGGTTGGGGATTGCTACTTCATTAGGTTTGTTCATTAATCCAAGAAAGAA